GAGAGAGAGAGAGAGAGAGAGAGAGAGAGAGAGATTTTAATCATAAAAGTATTTAAATAAATAAAAAAACTGAAAAAATAAAAATAAGGAAAGATTCGTCATTATAAAAAAAATTAAAACAAACTTGACCAAATTCGTAACAAAATGAAAAGTTTGGACCTCTTGTATTAATCTTACAATTTTTTATTTTTTTTGACCAAAGTGACAATTTTCAGGTAACCATATAGACCATTCTTGCAGTTTTGTCTGTTTTTAATTGAGTTGAAAAAGATATGGTTTTCATGTGTTGTGGATTGGAAAAGATAAAAAAACATGAGAGAGACAATGACAATGGGTTGAGTTGGTTGGGAGGGAATAACTCCCTCTACCCTTATGTCACATGGTGTCATACCACAATCATCACAACAATATTGTAGTATCACGTCATCACCACACCAATTTTTTTCCTCATCCTACAAAACTGGTGTGTTAGACCACACATTATCACACCCAACAGACAACACATACACTCCAACAGTAAAAAAATAAAGAGAAATGGTGATGTAATAGCTTCCCGTGCGGTATCCTTACCGCGGTCCATCCGGAGATCTGTGTTGTGTTCACCATACATTGCGATGCCACCTCAGCCACCGGAGGATTCGGTCATGGGTGTACCAACCGACCTTTTGATTACTTTACACAGTCAAAGCAAAGCGCGTCACTCATCACAAAGACACCAAAACTTACATGTGACTGTCATTTTTTATTTTTTTTCCTTTTCCCCTGTCACTTTTCTCCGGTTCGGATCCACTAAAACCCCAATTTATCCGCTTTTTACCAAATCCTGTTTATATGGGTCGGATATACACTAAAACCCAGTTTATGTACTTTTTACTATATAGTTTGTATACGGTCATATAGACGGATACACACAAAACCCAATTTATCTAACTTGCTTTACACTTTTAGAAAACAACTATTACTATATACATATAATTAAAGCAATTTAAGAACTCCCAAAATATAAAATATCAACTTAACCAATCAAATTTTCCACATAATTACATGCAAAACTGACCAAGAATACACAGTTTCTGAAGATTGAAGAACAAACCATTTATTTTTCTATACACTATTACTACAAACAATATAAACAATAACGAAACAAAAGAATCAATAAAATTGTGTTCCCAACCTAATACAAGGTTAAAACATGCTACATCTCATTATACATCAAAAAAATATTGTTTGGCTCTTATCCTATCGAATATAATAAGTTCCAAGTTCCAACCACTCCATATTATTAAGTTCACTTAATTGGCTGTTGATGGTAACTTACTTTACTCTGATAAATTTTTTATTTTTATCACCAATCAAATACTTTTTCATTTATGTACCTTGAACCTGTACTGAATCTTATCTCCATGAGCTCAAAATTTGTGGTCTGGAAATTAATAATTCCTTTTTCGCTCTTTTTAGTACGAAAACTCAAGCCCTCTGAGTGATATATACTTCTTTACCCATATGGCAATATCTTCTGCACATGCTTGAGCTTTAGGTGTCTTCAAAAACATCTCAAAGGTTGCAAATTCATGAACAGCATCTTTGTAATCATAAACAGGGGCATCTACATTAACCTGGCGAAGCTCCTGTGAGTATGCAATGGCACGATCACGCATCCAATCATGTTCAGCTACTATTGTGAGTGTAGGAGGCATGTGTTTTAATGGTATTCTTTTAGCTGTCATCAGAGGGTTGGCAGCTGGATGATCAAGATTGAATTGATCATCTGGTAAGAAAAGCTTCCAGGCTAACATGGCCATGGTTCTGTCATAGAGGTAAGAGTTAGCTAGCTTGATTTCGGATTTTGTTGGAGTGTTTCCGATTACAAAAGGGTACATAAGAACTTGTGCCACCACTCTTACAGGGTCTAATAGGTTCCCAGCTTCTACTGCCTTTTGTGTCACATAATTTGCGATGTTTGAACCAGAGCTTACACCTAGGAGGACACACCTGTTAATGGCAATAAAACCAAGAAGAAATCAATACATTGTTTTTGCCTTTCATTGAGGATCTGTGTGATAGATAGATTCGTGTGGAGTGGTATACAAGTTAACAGATCGTGATAAGTGTATTTAACCATGGAACAGTGAGGATTGTGCCCAAATCGGAATAGATTCTAAGAGATAATTAAGGACTTGAATTCTTGAAGATTTGTTACCTGGAAAGATCGGCATGAGCAGCAATCCAAGGCTCGATCATGGAAGAACCAAAACCATCAACGATCTGTCTCCTCCTGAGGTTAACGCGACCTGAGATCCTACACTCGGCCAAATTCGCCTGCTTAGCTAACCAACTCAACGCCTCAACGCCGTCCTCAAACGCCGCGGGATACTTACTCTCCGGTGCAAGCCTATACCCTACCGCCACCACAATCGCATCACACGCCTTGGCGATCCTCCGACAAAACAGATCATTCGCCAACGAAACACTGCTTCCAGTCACAAATCCACCTCCGTGAAACTGCAAAACCACGGGCAGTTTACGTAAATTATCGCCTAGAGCTGGCGAGTAGCCACCGTAAACCCCATCACTTTGTTTTAACCCTCTTGATTTGGCAAGTACTGAATCAGGGAGAAAGATCCGGAGGGTTAAAGATGTCAAGGGATCGATATGGATATCTTTGGTAGCTACACCGTCTTCAGAGAAGCTAGGGTTGGCCGGAGCGACGGATTCATCGGGGCGAGAGACGACACCGAATTGATTGAAGATTTTGGTGTGGGTTTCAGTGAGGGTTTGTAATTGGCGTTTCAAGATGAATTTATGAAGAACACTGTAGAATTTTACAGATACAGACGGCATGTTGAACAAGGAATCAAAGAAGAAGATTTGGTAAAGAACATTTGGGGGAAATTTAGGGATTAGTTAGGGTTTTAAGGTGATAGAAGAGACTTGTTCAATTCAAAATTGGGGAAGAAGGTTCGAACATGGTATTAATAATTAATTGAAGTATACAGGCGTAGGTGCGTGGGTGTGTTATTTTTTCTATAAGGGTAGGCTGCGTTGCATGGTTATATTTCTAGACGCCAGATGATTCTTACGATTAGTCGATTACTACTTTCTTGGAAAATTAATAATAATCATTATTTATAAGACCACATGTATGTGTTGAATTTTAATTTTAATAGATTAATCAAATACTATATTGAATCAAACTAGTAACTAGTGTTTTCGGTTTGAAAGTTTGGTGAACCAATTAACTAACGATGTCCTAAATATTAAATAATACTTAGATTAGAAACAAGTTTCTAAAATTAAGCGATGCCTTAAATTTTAATAAAATAAACAACAAACTGATGTGTCAATTGGTTAAGAAATAGTATTGTAAATCTGCTTAATAGATATAATTATGATCTTAATTGTTGGTGTCATTATTTTCCGTTTTAGATGATTGACAAAGCACAGCAAAGCAAACCCATAATTTTATTTGTCAATAATCATATTAATATTTATTGATTAATGTTTGCAAAAATATGGTACGACAACTCAGTTTTCATAGATACATTCGGAGATTACATTGGACTTCACATGCTGTCCGATATCGTTGGGTCATATGCATTTCCGTAATAAGTAGTATATTATTGCACCTCAAAATTACGATTGGGATTATCACGTCTTTTGTATACAATTTCTACATATCAGGTGTTGCATTTGTTTGTATACTTGTGGCCATGTAGGATGCCAAGTATTTTACCTTATTATCAAAAGACATTTCCAGTTTAATTAACGTTAAATCGATACCGTTATTCTGTTTTCAAAAGTCTTGAAAACATCATATAGATAATTACAAGTTAATAACTATTTATACAAAATTGCAATCTTTTTTTAACTCTTATATGATAACACGAAGGTTCAAAAGCTCCAATACACAGACAAACATGACTCTTAAGTCGCAAAATCCCCGAAAAAATATTTATTTGACATCTCCAAAATTACAAAGTAGAATGCTAAAACAGCAATGGATCAAAACCCACAAGTTTTATGTTAGTAAAATCCATACCTCAAAGTAACAACGGGTCACAAGAAGCAAGTCATCAAAATTACTGATAACTGACACCATCACCGCTTATAACTTCACCAATACGATACACCATCCCACCTTCTTCCTTAAGTACCCTTTCAGCAGCCTCTTTGCTAACAACCAAAACCATCCCAATTCCCATATTAAAAGTCCTCTTCATTTCACCATCTTCAATCCCTCCAGCCTGAAAAGGGGCAAAACCGGAAACATTAAAAAAAAAAAAAAAAAAAAAAAAAACAACCGGTTTTTTTAAATACCAAAAAAAAAACTTACATACCTTTTGGATCCATTTAAAAACAGGGGGGACCGGCCACGAGTCGTTATAAACAAGAGCACCAAGCCCTTTTGGGAAAACACGAGGGATGTTATCTGTGAAGCCGCCACCTGTTATGTGTGCAATTCCTTTTATACCCTTATTGCCCTCCTTGCTTATGATATCAAGCACTTGTTTTACATAAATTACAGTTGGTGCCATTAAGGCTTCCGCTAATGTAACTGATTCTTCACCCGGGAGTTTGTCTTTCAATAAAAGCCTACTTCTCGCTAGCACCCTAAAACAAAATATATAAACAAAGATAAGTATACAGAGTAAATTACATTTTTTATCCCCGTGTATAGCTGATATATACAAATGTGGTCCCAAAGTTTTCTTTGCCAAATTTGGTCCTTATTTGACGTTCTTGTAACGTCTTTGGTCCTTGTTCCAAGTAAAATCACTATCTTTGGTCCCTGATAATAGCTGATTTTTGCAATTTTGGTCCCAAAAATATATACTTGGATTAGGGATCAAAAATGTTACAAAAACCTCAAGGACCAAAAGTGCAAAGACAATTCTTTGGGACCAAAAGTAAACTATATTCAAGGACCAAAAATGTAATTTTCTCTATATTATATAAAGAGTAAATTACATTTTTGGTTCCTGAGTTTGTTCAGAATTTACTGTTTTGGTCCCAAATTGTTTACTCTCGCAACCTCGGTGCCTATTTCAATTGTTGTAACGATTTTGGTCTTTGAGTTCGTTCAAAAATTGTATCTTCAATAGTTTCCTTTTGCAATTTTGGTGTCTATAGGAGCCAAAATCGTTACAACAATTAAAAATAGGCACCGAAATTGCGAGAGTAAACCATTTGGGACCAAAACAGTAATTTCTGAACATACTCAGGGACCAAAAATGTAATTTAGTCTTATATAAAGGAAGTTTAAATTCTTAAACCACCTTCGAACAAGTGAGAAACCATTTGAGTGGACCCCACTAGACGGGAGGCCAATAAGCACATCTCCAACTTCTATATTCTTGCCATTTATAACCGCCTCCTTTTTCACAATTCCAACTGCAAAACCACTAAGATCGTATTCTCCTTCTGCATAAAAATCTGGCATTTCTGCAGTCTGAAAGACAGAAGAAGAAAAAAAAGTCAACAACAAAAGTCAAACCTTAAGAAAAGTAGGTTGCTATTATTGTACTACCTCTCCACCCAAAAGAGCACAGTCAGATTGTTGGCAACCATCGACAATTCCTTTTATAACCTTTTCAGCAAGATCAACATCAAGGCGACTTGTTGCATAGTAATCAAGGAAGAACAAAGGCTTTGCTCCAGATGTGATGATGTCATTCACACTCATTGCCACCTAAAGGTAAACATTTTTTAGTAATAACAAAATAAAAAAGTATAATAGAGATAATTTTGGAAAGTTGGTGAATTTTATTATTACCAAATCAATTCCAATGGAATCATGGATTCCGGTCTCAAATGCCAGCTTAAGTTTGGTTCCTACACCATCTGTACCAGCTACAAGATACGAATCCCCTAAAAACAAAAAATAATCAATATGAGAAAAGTGTATGCAATTGGAAAAAATAAAAATTTAATTTTTAATACTAATAAAAAAGAAATACCAAGTGGAAAAAGGCCACCAAAGCCTCCAATTCCAGGTGCCATCTTGGCAATCCTGCGTACAAGCTCTGAACCAGCATCTATGTCAACACCAGCTTCTTTATATGTAAGGCCCTCTTCATGATTGCTTTTAACCACACATGAAATTCCATTTTTTGTATGTCTTCTGAATGATAAGTTTGTAGGTTTCTTAGACAAGTAAGAAAGCTTGTGTGTTGTTGCAGAAAAGGGAGAGGTATATGATGATTGATGACAAGAGGGCTTGATTGTGTACTTGGATGTCTCTACATTTGATCCAAATGTTGTGGTGTTCATGATGCCAAAAAGATGCTGAAAGATAGTTGGTAGATTAATATTGTTTTATAGAAGTTATTATCGATTTTTTTTCTGAGAAGGATGCATGGGTTATAATATTTACCTACTATTGATCTGTTAAAAGTGTTGTTGTCCAAAATTTAATACAATGTTGCTGTCAAATTGTTAATTTGTGAATGTTGCAGACAATCAAATTACAGAAAATGTCGTTTTATTTTCTATGTGTGGGTACTAAAAAACTGGAAGATCAAATATAAATTACGACTTTTTTCAATCAATCACAATTTATGGATGTTTGCCTAATAATCAGGATACACTATCAAGAACCCTTCATTCACTTTGCTTTTCCAATGTCACCTATGCCTTAATCACCTAATCTTCTCAAATACAACAGTTTCGTAGTTCATATATAGCAATACTTTCCAATTTCTACCAATGTCTGCTGGACCATTGCATGTAATCTGAAACCAATATTTCGTGCATGTCAATTATTCTTCTTCTTTTTAATTTGGTTGTAGAGCTTTAAAACCACATATGCATTCTTCGATTTTCGAATTTTCTCTATAAGTATGTTATCTTATACAAAAATTCTTAAAATTTTCACAAATATTAACTTACTTTTTTTTGCCTAACTACGTCATCCATCATCAACAGAGGAAATATAATACCTCATCGACCAAGATATAAATGAAAAGAAACCACAGAAATTTGGGTCTTTAGATAACAGAAGAAAACGTTTGACCGGAGAAGGCGTACCTTTTGATTGTGGTGTTATAGAAGACGAAACTGCGAGCGCGGAACAGAGTGACCGAAGTGTCCGGAGGAGAAGGAGGGATTCAGCACAGGGTTGAACCGTTGAAGCCCTAACTTGTTGGTTTAGCCGTTACCGTTAGCGAATCAGATTATAACACAAGTTCAATTGTGAAGCCCAATTTTTTCAAACCCTAAAACGCCTAAAGCCCAAACAACTATAATTCTTAATTCCAACCATGTTTATTATCTTCCAATTATTTTATGGTATGATATTTACTTTTAGAGATAACGAAAAAAAATAGTCATGTCATCTATCTATATCTAACATGTTTTTAACATATTTTTTTAAATGGAATACATCCGAAACTCCATAATTTGGACACTTCGTCCTTTCGGATTTTGGTGTATACTATACGGATTTCAAAGCATATGTTCTCTTGAAAAGACATTTTTACTTGAAGTACTCGGTGAAGCTTTGGTGTGAGTCTAGAGGAATGGTGATGCATTCTAAATTAAGTTATTCAAACCCTCAAATTTTCATACACAACAAAGAAGTCATCTTTTTCGTAGATGTTATCGTCATATTCAAACTAGGTTGTTAGTTTCGTAGACTAATAATAGTGTTTATGTGGTTGCTCGGGTCCTCTAAACAAAGATGAAGATTGTGGGTGTTTTCATTACATTGATGAATACCTAATAGTCGGTACAAGGAACACTTTTTGAAATGCATACACAGTTAATGAGATAACGGAGTAACATCCTATTGAACCAAATGTTCAAAAACCAATTAAAGCAAACAACTACAACTTGGTGTTTCTGGTTAGAGTTTTGATATTTTTGTGCGTTACTTCCATCATTTTTAGTGTTGTTTAAGACTAAACATGCAATGTCCTTATACTAATTAGTTGGATGTAATTGTTATTGCAAACTTGTATATATATGTAAGGTCCATGTATCATTTTCGATAAGGAATCAAAATGAAAAAAAAAATTGTTTTTGCATGAAAAGGGCATCGTAGTCTTTATATGAAAATGTCATATTAGTGTTTATGTTAAGACATCGATCATCAAATCTCTTGGGGAGGAGAAATAAGAGGGGGGGGGGGGTGAAGCTTTACATAAAGGCAAAGCACTGCAATTCATTATTTGGTTTTGAATAGTTAACACACCCTAAATCAATGACTTCCCATCAACAAACCTTTATTTCAATATTTAAAGTTTTTTTTTTAAAAAAAATGTTCCCGAGATGATGCTTTACAAGTTTACATCGATGTTTTTGTGCTTCAATGTAACACCCGGCTAAATAAGTACACTAGATATTTTTATTTTTTTAAACAAAAGTGTACATATCATTAACCTATTTCACAAGTTTATATCATACATAGTTAAACGCTACAGTACCGAGCCATGTTTACAAAACAATATTTACAAAATCAAGTTAAGTTTCAAAAGTTGATTTCAAAACATGACTACACCTCCACTGCCTCTACTCGATCCTTATGCATGTAACATGAAAACATAAACAATCAACAATATAAGCGTGAGTAATAACTGTAGTCATAACAATGCATCAATTCCATCCGGTTAATATGAGATAGTATTTCTTAATTATAATGTTTATTTCATTATCACAACAACAATCTCATATGGAGATTGTAATATGATCAATACTCATTGATTATGGAATACTCGTTTCCATAATTTCGGTTATCAATACTAACTCGTCTTCAAACACAATTTTGTGAAATCAACTCAATAATCTCATATGGAACGCTCGTTTCCATAATTTCGGTTTTCATCACTAACTCGTCTTCAAATACAATTTCATGAAATCAACTCAATAATCTCATATGGAATGCTCGTTTCCATAAATTTCGGTTTTCATCACTAACTCGTCTTCAAATACAATTTCGTGAAATCAACTCAATAATCTCATATGGAATGTTCGTTTCCATAAATTCGGTCTTCATCACTTGTTTCTCATTTAATCAATATACTTTCCAAAATCTTTAATTAAGTAAATTTTATCTTTTTAATCATAACATTTCAACCTAATTAACATCGAACAATTCTAATAAACTAATGAACAATAAACATCTAACATCATGAGTAAAAAGGAAGTTACTCACCTTAGTTATGGTTTGTGAGGATGATACTCCAACAATTTCTCCTCCTTTCCAAGAGTCATTCCTTGATTCCCTATTTAATCAAGTTTCAAAATCACTAATTGTTAAACCATTCATATGATTTGAATCTATGTTCATGATCAATATAACATCTTAAAATCTTTAACTCTATGTTTCTCAATTATCTAACATCCATAAATAACTTTCTCATGCAATTTTTATTATCATATAAATTAATAACATCATATGTCTTAACTTATTAAGACCATGTCTTCCTTTCACAAAGTTTTTACATCAAATATTACACACAATATCTTTCATTCACATGATACTCAAATCAATGGAAATAAACATAATTAGGATAATTAATGCAAATCCTAACTCATCATCATCAACTAGACATGTACCCTTCATCTAGGGGTTCATCAAAATAAACAAGAAATCTTACTCAAAAATGGAATTCAAATGTGTTAAAACAAGTAATTCTTACCTTAATTCATGATTTGGTTGCTTAAGTCAAGTAATCTCCTCAAGAACTGACTTCTAGGGCTTAATTGGGGTTTTTCGCACCTTAAGTGTGTGTTTTTAGGTTTGGGTTCGAATGCCCCTGTTTTAAGACGTGATTATTTTTTTATGGTTTGCTCAGACTCACGTCGTGAGTTTCCCTTTTCCTGACGCTTTTGCTTTATGACAAAACGAGATATGTCATAAATAAAATCAGACATTGCACTTTTCTCACGTCGTGAACACCTCTTTTCACGTCGTGAGATATCAAAGTAGGTTACTATTATTGTTTACTACGTAACTTGATTACCCTTCTTGCACTATCACATCGTGAGATACTTTGCTCACGTCGTGAGTTCTTGTTTTTGCTATATTTCACACATTTTTTATTCTTAAACTATACTCTAAACTATAACATCTAAATTTCCAATTCTTTTACTCAAGAACACTCATTTAGGCATAATTTATCATAACATATGTTACAATTTATATTCATAATAAACAATTAAACACAATAATATTATAAGTCTTGATGCTAAGAAACAGGTATTACATTCAACTTTCTAAATCTTTTAGTTTTCGATTTCTTAAGATGGATGTTAGGGTATCAAACCCAACAAATATAAATGGGTGCAATATACTCTAAAAACACTGCTATTGTGCACTAAAAAGTAGTACACGACAAGCAAAGTTGATCCTCAAAGACACAGGACTAATGTTTATACTTCTTTACCCAATGTACAAGTTAGTCACCCAAAGGGGGGTATATTTGCAAGATATTAAAGAAACAACTTAAGGAATAATAAGTTGAAAGAGATTCAGAAATGTAAAGGTTCCAATCCTATGTTTGAATATGTATGCATTGCAATTCAATTGTGAATTGCAATAACTTTTAACTCCATCTAAGTTGGTACTTGAGATCATTAACAAGCTCTAACACTCCCTGTTCACCAATATGTTAAATTCAAAACAAGCTCTTTATTCCTGCTACATGTGATGCATAAATTTTGAGTGGGCCCAATTTGGGAAAACGTGGTGAAATACATAGGGTTTTCAATCTCATAATGTTTTAATGATAATAATCATGCAAAACCAATTGTTATCAAACAATACAGGGATATTGTAAAACAATCTACCCTTAGTACCCATCACGTCGATTTTCACATACTGATCCTGGAGCAATGATCTCTTAAGATCTAACCTGATGGATCACTGTAAGCAACGAGTAGACTCTACTTCATTGAGGATTCCTCAGCGATATCAGTCAATTGTAATGTCCCATTTCACAATTTCTTTTTTATTTTTAATTAAGATAAAACACCATTTCCATAAACCCAAGTTAAGAAAAATCATTTGTTCCAAAATACAATTGTTTGAAAATCAGAATAATATAATATATTCAATGTTGCTGACGAGTGTGTACAATCATGCCTTCACCATGATCAACATGGGTACCTAAAATACATTTAATCCACAACTATAAGCCAAAGCTTAGTGAGTTCCCCCAAAATACAACACACCACGATACACATACAATACATGCACACACACGAGCCTTCAGTTTGACTGGACCGCCTCGTGAGGCCTACAGTACACCTGAACCTCCAGTCCATGACTGGTCCCCTGCCCATAACTACAACATAAAGCTGGTCTGCACCTGGCCTACAACACACCGTTGGCCCGTCCAGATATCTTGGCCTACAACACAAAGCAGGACCGCCTCAACCTACCACTTAATATATCGACATATAAACCAAGCAAGTAATCAAACAAGAACATAAACACATGAAACTATCTACACTAGTCTACCTGTCTAACAACTCAGTATAGCATACCGAGCCTCATACAATGCACTACTTCACTACTGGCAGATCACTAATGAATGCATAGCTATATGGATTTAGAGGTGAGATAGACAGTCGAACAGGTGATCCCAATCTAGAGCCACAACCAAACAAGAAACATGCAAGAAAGCTTATATCAAGAGTTTTTAGGCTATCATACATAACTGCATACAGCCCCTAGGGCATTCAACTAGACGTTCACCGACCCCTGGTAATCTAACCAACATACCATTACTCCTATATCCTAACATACAAGGATATATATATATATATATATATATATATATATATATGTATATGTATATATATATATAGTAACACATATGTAACGCTCGTAGATTCGGGCTAGTCACTTTAGAGACAATAAGCGTCAAAAATGCATTTTTTTATAGGAGATTATTTAGAATGAATAATCTTAACCAAGTTATATTATATGTCACAAGGGTTCCGTACATATAAAGAACGTTGAAATCCGAGTTATAACGAAGAAGTTATGGCCCGTC